TTGTTACACATGATTGTAGTCTCTACTATCATCTGTATGTGTGTGTTCGTGTGTCACATGTGTGTCGAGACTGTGTGAGATAATCTGTACGATGTTGCGCGAATCTCTATTTTTGAACAGCTTGAGATTTTATCTGATCAATGTAGGAGGAGTAAGAATCGTCAAGCAGTACCGTATCATGCATAACATTAATTGTATTATTTTTTAATTTAATATTGACCATTTCAGACGTTAGTCTTTTATAATATAATTTGGTTCTTGATCTAAAATTTTAATTTCCTCCCAATTAAACGAATGTCCCGTGTTTATACAATGATCAGATATCACAGATTTAACATTTTGTGTCTTAACATAATTAATGTGCTCTTTAATTCTAGTTTGCAGATGTCTCTTGGTTTGGCCAATATAATTGGCTTTGCAATTGTTGCATTGAATGTTGTAAACTACGTTATTCTTTTTTGAATTTGAAATGGTGTCTTTATGCGTTTTAATGAATTTACTTAGATTATTCACCGTTCTATATGATAATCTTGTTTGTGTGTTATCATTAATTAACGTGTTATATTGTTTACTAAGATTGTTTAACGTTGTTGTGTANGGTAATACAAAATAATGTGTGGAAGGTGTTTGTTCTTCCATATCAGTTTCGTATTTAATGGTTTTGTTAAGTTTATTACTAAACAGCATGTGTAGTCTTTTATTGATGTAGTCAAATATAAAACGCAACGGGTAATTATTAGTTTGTAATGTGTTTACGACGAACCCTATGTTTTTTGGTGGTATGATGGATTTGCTAGTAAAATTGCTCTATCTACTAACGTGTAAATTGTCCCAATTTTATGACAAGTAGGATTCAATGACAAATAATTTAAATAACGTCCTGAATATGTTGGCTTGTGATACCAATCACAAGTGACAACAGAATTTAATAAATTTAGACGTAAATCTAAAAATCCTATGCCTTTGTCTGTTTGTAATTCACACGTAAATTGTAATCTAAGGTGGTATGAATTGAAAAATTACACACAAAGATTAGTGAGAATGAATTTATATTGACATTAAGATTCGTCATGTCATCGACTTACTTCACATTTCATGACACTATTTACAAACAAGTATTTGGGGCACCAATGGGTTCACCCTTGTCACCCATTATGGCAGATTTAACCTTGCAAGATTTAGAGTTGAAAGCATTAAGTTCAATAAATTACCAAATATCACTTTATTATAGATATGTCGACGACATTATTGTTGCTCTACCTAAACATAGAGTTGATGATATGGTGAATCTTTTCAATTCTTTTTTCTTAGGCATATTCTACAAAAATGTGTGATATTCCGAACAAATTACCTTTTTAAAAAAAGGTAAAAAAAGCCAAGTACATGCGCAACTCGTATCTCTAGATTACAATAAACGTTATACTATAAAAATCTTTCTCTACAAAACCTATTCTACAAAAGAAATGATATCAATTAGTAGCGCCAAATAAAATCTTAGACATTTATACATCGTTACAAAATATAAAATATTATATAAAACTTTGTAAGTTGTTTATACGTTGTTATAAAATATAAATATTCTAAAACAATAAAAAGTTTAAAAAGTGTTACGCCGCGGTCACCTTGTGTTCTGTGGTTGCTAGGCAAGCGGTCTTGACTACCAAGTACACGCGCAATTTGTATCTCTAGAAAAAGTAGTATTATAAAGAAATGATATCAATAAGTAGCGCCAAGTAAAATCTTGTACATTTATACATTGTTGCAAAATATAAAATATTATATTTGTAAGTTGTTTATACGTTCTAAAATATAAAATATGAAATATTCCAAAACAATAAAAAGTTTAAAATATTATGTGATTAGTGTACTTTATATAGAAAGTTTAAAATATTATGTGATCAGTGTACTTTGTATATATATATAAAGCACTCATCGATGTAAGAAATGACCTCACCTTGCGTGGACAACCTTAAACTATGTCAAATCATATAGATTTCGCTTTGTGTAAAAAGTCAAAAACCCATGTAAAATTTTTAAAATATAACATATTTAATGTAAAAAAACTTGGCGCAGCTGCACCGAAAGTTTTACGCAGTTTTACGCAGATGATTTAATAATATATTTACATGTTAAACTGAATTGCTTGGATGAGGTCATTGTAATGATAAATAAAAACATCAAAAACGTGATAAATTGGGATAACGGTTTAACTCTCAACGTTGGAAAAACATCTGCGATAATTTTCGGAACCTGTAGATATATCAGGAATCTTGATTATAAAGATTTAGCGCTATTGAGGTTAAAGGTAAGAAGATTCCGTACAAGGATTTGGTGGTCTATCTGGGCATTACAACAGCACTCTCTCCTGGGATATACAGGTGACCAACACTGTGGCTCGTGTCACTGCGTCTCTTCACCGACTGAAAGCCTATAAACATCTTTTCTCGCCGGCATTAAGGACAAGATTAGTCTCTACCTTATTAATACTTTTTTTCGACTATTGTTGTACGCTCATGACAAACATAACTAATGATAACAACTCGCGTCTGCAAAAATCACTAAATATTTGTATCAGATTTATCCATCAAGCTAGTTGGTATGAGCACATCACGCCGTACTTTCACAAACTGCAATGGCTTAAGATTAGATCAAGAAGAGAATACTTCATTGGCTGTCTAGTTTACAGGATATTAGAAACAAAGAGACCTGAGGCGATTTACAACTCCTTTGTTTTTAAACGGGACGTTAATCCGCGTGACACTAGGATGATTCCAGATGATCTTGTTCTCCCACTAAGCAGAACAGAGATGTTCAGATGCTCCTTCAGATGTATCTGTGTGGATGTTTGGAACGCGATACCAGTAGATATTTACAGANAGCCTTATTGTAATTTTAAGAGGGGTTGTACACCTTTCTTTTACAAAATAATGCGTAATCATTCATTTTTCTTTTGTCTTCTTCACACTAAACTAAGTGTGAAAAATAATTAAATCTTATCACTCTCTTACACACTTTTAAACTTAACTCTATGTAATGTTATTATTTTCTTTTATTGTATTCTATATATATATATATATTTTTATTTTTTATTTTTTATTTTTATTTTATTTTTTATTTTTTATTTTTTATTTTTATATTTTTTTAATTTCTTACTTTTATTGTTATTAATTATACTCACTATCCTAAGTTCAATTATTTTCTGGTATGTACTTTATATTTTATTTTATTTTTGTCATGTAATGCGCTTGAGGGGCCAGTCCCAGAGCGCGATAAAAATAAAGCTTATATCTATCTATCTATCTATCTCTTTTTCTCTCTCTCTTACTTTTTTTCTCTCTTTTTCTCTCTCTCTCTTTCTTTTTTTCTTTCTTTTTCTTTCTCTCTCTCTCTCTCTCCCTCTCACTCTCTCTCTCTCTCTCTTTCTCTCACTTTTACTTTGTTTCACTTTCTCTCTCACTCTCTCTCTCTCTCTTTCTCTCTCTCTCTCTCTCTCTCTCTCAATTTCTCTCACTCACTCTCTCTCAATTTGATGTAAGTGAATTTACCAGGTTAGTGGCAAATAAATTGCATAACAAACAAGATATGAATGTCAGTATGAGAGCGACAAAGCTAGTTGACAGCATAGTAGAAGCGTTAGATGTAGTGGCGCCGATAAGAAAGTTTAAAATTCCGAAGGTGTGGGAAGGAAAAAAATGGTTCTCAGATGAAATAATAGAAGCAGCTGATAGAAGGGATACAGCATACAAGAAAGCAATTTATGAAACTAGTGAGCAAAATTGGTTGCAATTTAAACCTGATAGGAATATAGTTGTAAAATTAATTAGAGATAAAAAAAGAGANTATTATGAAAATATGATAGACCTCAACGAGAAAAATTCAACGACTATGTAGAAAACCTTGAAAGAAATAATTAAAGGTGAGCCAGTAAGAACAAAAGGGGCGTGTTCCGTTTGACCACAGTACGATTCGACACCGATCGATTCGACACAGATTTATTCGACACCAAATTATTCGACACCGTACGATTC